AACATAGACACATGTTGAGATTCTACACAAATAGAATGGGAAAAAAAGTGCTTATAAAATTTAAAACCAGGTAAGGCACCTGAGGTAGTTAATTTTATGTGTCAACTTGAGTGGGCCACAGGGTGCCCAGACTAAGCTTTGTTTCTGGGGGTGTCTGTGAGAGTACTTCTGGATAAGATTAGCATTTGGATTGGTGGACTCAGTAGATCACCCTCCCCGTTGTAGTTGGGCATCTTGCATCTTGCATTGGGCATTGAAGGCCTGAATAGAACAAAGGGTGGAAGAAGAAGGAATTCTTCCATTTTTTTCTTGCCTTCCACCTTAGCTGGGACATCTCATCTCATCTTCTCCTGCCCTTGGACTAAGATTTATAGCATTTGCTCGCCTTGTTCTTAGGCCTTTGGACTTGGACTGAATTACACCACTGGCTTTCCTGGATTTCCAGCTTGCAGACAGCAGGTCATAGGACTCAGCCTCCATGATCATGTGAGCCAATTTATCATCATAAATTAATCTCTCTCTCTCCATATAGATACATGGATAGATAGGTAGATATAGATATGTAGATATATCTATATCCTCTCTCTCTCTCTCTCCCCCTCTCTCTATCTCCTTTCTCTATATAAAATCCTATTGGTTCTATTTCTCTGGAGAACCCTGACTAATACAGCACCTCAGATTTTGAATTTGGCATAGACTATGACCACTTCTGATATTAAATTCCTGTAAAGATAAACATCTCTATGGAACTTACAGTTCAGAGGCTTTTGTTTGGTCCTGTGGACTCCTATTTCCTAAAAGAATAATATGCCACTTTAGATTTTTTTTGAAGTGAATGTTTCTTTTTGAAAATTGCATCAACCTATTTGGTGATGCCTGTTGGTCACACAATGAATGTCTGCTTGAGGAGATGGGATGATTAGAAGACAAGCTTAGGGGACAGAAGTTCATTGGGTTGCAAGAGGTTGGTATCAAGTTGTGGGATGTTGGTAAGGGTGGGATGGAAACAGGAGTAGATCAGAGGTTGTGCTTGGCAGGTGACTTTGAAGAAGTTATGTGTCTGCTCTAGATCTCAATTTCCACATCTGCAAAATAAAAGTGGAGTATTAGATGATCTCTAAGGTTCCCTCTAGTACTAAAATTTAATGGGCCCCCTTTGGAATAACAAAAGTTATCTTGCATGTAAACCAGAGTTTTACACATTAAGAGTGCTCAATAAATGCTAATCAACAAAGGCAGTGATAAGGTAATTAATACTTTGATCAAAAAGGAAGCCCTTATTCTTGAAAACTACAAATAGGAGGGCCTCTTTATCTTCTCCAATGACAGGCTACTTGGTTAATATTTACAGCTTGGTGGAAAGGGGGAGGATAGATGAGGAGGGCGTCTGCAGAGCTTCTTCCTTGAGCTGAGTGATTTATCTTCACAATATCATACCTTTTTCGGTTAGTGCCCTAGAGGGTTCTGGTGACTGCAAATGTTGTTGTGGAGTGTACTACAGTATAGACAGTTTGGATGGAATTAGTAGGTGAGCAGAAGAGAGCAGAATTACACAGAAAATTCTTTGGAGCTATAGCATCCATTATTTCCTAAAGGGACCTCTTTAATTTTCCATATTGGGCCAAGTATCCATTTGCCTCTCCAGATCTTATACACATCCTCCTTAGTCCTCACTACTCTCTGCCCAGGGAGGATGACCTATATGGATTTCATCAACAAGCTTCAGCACCCTCCAGCTTCTAGTTGGGCCTGGTCATGACAGGAGGGAGGAAGGAGAGTGAGTTCAAGGTGTTTATTCCTGATATCCCTCCTTTGAGGTCAACTTGAGCTGTTTATGTCCTCTGACAGGCTGTCACTGCTCCTTTCATGGCAGTTGTCACTACGAGAGCCTCTTTTGAGTCCTGGTGTCCTTTCCCTCTCTCCTCCCCTCAGGTCTAGGGGTGGTGACTTCTCTGCTGCAGTGAGTCCTGGGTTCCTTCACTATCCCTGTGGTTTATGTTTACTCCACCTTTGTAATTAGTCTCTTTGTAAATTAACCCTCTTGGGATTACTTTGAGTGTTCTCTGTTTCCTGTCGGGATCATGACCAATACACATACCATTCTACAAATTGAGAATGAAGAGGAAATGGCATTTGGGGCCACATCAATACTCATCTTATTATGCAGCCCTCCATCATAGCCATCTGGTCTATCTCATGTGTGCTCTCTGTCACCTTCTCACTTTCTTCCACAGCCATTGACTCCTTCCATGACCTCCTGAACCAAGCATCTGACATTTCATATAAATGAAATCATACAATATGTGGTCCTTTGTGAGTGACTGCTTTCACTTTGCATAATGTTTTCAAGGTTCATCCAAGTTGTAGCATGTATCAGTACATGCATTCTTCCTGTTTGTTATGGACAAATAATATTCCATTTTATGGATATACCACATTGTATTTTATCCATTCATCAGTTGATGGACAATTGGATTGTTTTCACTAAATGCCAGTAAATGTTTAACAACTAGCAATAGGGGGGAAAAATCCTGATTCATAGCATTTGCTGATTTCCACTATGTAAATACTCCCATCATGGCTGATTGCAAGCTACATGATGTCACTGAACATGGAATTAGAAAGAGATGCTAAAAAACGCTCTCGTGATTCTCTACAAGCCAGTTCCAGCATACTATTAGGACTGTCTTTACTGATGAATCACTCAAGGTACCAGAGATGTGGGCACATGCAGTGAGGTTTCCACACACTGTTACTTCAGGATAATAATAATGGTAATAATAAAAGTAATACAGCAGCTAACGTTTATTGAGCATTCTTTATGTACTAGGCACTGTACTAAGCATTTTTTTCTTTATTTAATTCTTGATCACCACTCACCTCCTTAACAGCCAGTGGCTCCAAACTATCAATATTCTATGCTTGTTCATTGCCCCTAGCTGGTCTCTCTGCTGTTTCTTAAATACTCCAAACACATTACATCTCTCAACTTTAGCACTCGCTTCCTCTAACTGGTACACTCTTTTCCCCAGATATCAACACAGCTCATTCCCTTATTTCTACCAGATCTCTGCTCAGGTGTCCCCTCCTCAGAAAGGCCTTTCCACTACTTCATCCCCTTATCTAATCCTTTGCCAAGTTTTGTTTTTCTTCATAGCACTTATCACTGACATTCTCTTATTCTGCATATTTATTTTCTTATTTATTTAAGAAATAAATGATGTAAGCTCCATGAAGGCAGAATCTTTGTTTTGCTCACAGTTGTCTTCCCAGTGCCAGGGCCATGCCCTAACTTAATCATGCTGACTAAGCTGGGGAGTTTGGAATTTTTCAACAAGTCCCTCTCTTTCCCTTCTGTGCTTCTCTTGGTGCTGTCAGAGGAAGGTTTAGAGAACATTCTGCCCTGGTCCCTGCATCTCTGTTACTGCCCCAAATCCTGCCACAGACAGGCCTCAGCTGACACAGGCGGGAGACAATCCATTGATGTGGCTAAGAATGTGTCTCACTCTGGAGCCAAACTAAATAGATCTGCATCCCAGCTCTGGTGCAGACTGACTGTGTGCTTTGGATAAGTTCCTCGACTTCTTAGAGTTTCCCTATCTTTAAAATGGGATACTAAGAGTCCCCACCTCATAAATCTGTTGTGAGGATTAAATTAATATGTTACTGTAAAGTGATCAGCACATAGCAAGTACTCAATACACCTTGTCTGCTTAGCTGCAAGGACATCTTCCAGGAAGAAGCTTAACTTATTGTGTAAGTCACCTGTGTGTGCCTGTGGAAGCCCTGTAAAAGTCACTACCCATCACCTCTGCAGCTCTTTTCTATTACTCTCATCATAGGCATTCTCTAAGAGCCTTTCTAGATTGTCTTGCTGTCCCAGAGAACTGGATGGTTCTCTGCCTGCATTTGTTTCTCACAAAAGTAGAGACCCTTGGGCTTCAAGAAAGTGTTATCAGCCTGATCCTCTTTCTTGGGAAATCACCTACACTTAACCACTAGGTTTGGAAAACATCTAAGGGAAACCTGATGTTATTCTCAGACTAACTAGCTGAGCGTAGCCAGATCTGGAGCATCCCGAGGGCAGGAGAAAGAAAAGCCTCCCACAGAGGAGAAATCCTAACCCACAGGCCCTAGGATATTGAGAGTAAAGGAAGCATTGGTGGCTTTGCTAGACTGAGCGGAGAAAGAAGGAAGAGATGGTAAGCTGTTCATGAAAAGAAGAGAAACCACCCAATATGCAGGACTAACTTAGAAGGAAGCCCCCTGAGGCCCTCAAGTACACGTTGCTGTATGTCCCTGCTAGGGAGGGTCTCCCTAATCCAAGTAACTGTTTTACATCCTCCCTCTATGTATTCCCCCTCTCCCCCCAGCTCCATGAATTTGTTTAAAGCCAGTGAATTGCTCAGATAGAGAACTTCATTTGCTAATTTCGGATAAATCTAGTTCCATTAATATTTACTGAATGCCCACAAGGAGCTGGGCAGTGCTAGCAGGCAGTCCCAGGAATCATAGGAACCAACAGTTCACACTCACATCCCAGAAAAATAACCCTGCCTGTCTCTGAGCATCCCCATTTCTTCGGACGGAGTCAGCTTCTGTGTCTGATCCCTGCAAAACATCAACACTTCCTCGTACTTGGGCTCCCACTGGGCTCCCGCTGGGCCTCCTTGAAACGCTGGAGGATTAAGGGGTGGGGAATAGGGAGGGCTGGGGAGGTAAGGAAGGAAGGAGGGGGAAGGAACAAGGTGCGTTTCCCCTCTCTAATCGTGTTCCAGTCAGCAGTCAGCCGTGTTCCCAGGCGCCGATTCCAGCCGTCCAGAGACACTTCCAGGAACCGCCTGGCTTCCTGGGCCGTGGACTTTGGCTGGTCCAGTGCTGGCGTCTCCCTCCTCCCACCTCTCTCCTCCCTCCGGGCTCCGTGCCTCACTCAGGGGCGTGTCCTGCCCTACCTCCCTTTCACAGTGGTCCACTCATCCGGTTACAGCAGCAGCGGCGGCGGCGGCGGCGGCGGCAGTCAGAGCAAGAGCAGCGATAGCTCCGGGTTTCCAGAACAGGATCTGGGGCCTCGGCAGCAGCTCAGTGGGGCACCTGTTCGGAGCAGGAGTAGCAGGACGAGGGGGCGGTTTCGTGCCAGTCCCTCTCTGAGCCGGAAGGAAGGGGCACTTCCCAGCTGGGATTCCACTGCTCCGCAGAATCTCAGCACCAAGCTGGGAGCTGGGAATACTGGTGGGGGTAGACATGTGCAGGACCAGCTAGAGAGCTGGGGCAGGTAAACATTTGGTCCAGGTGTAGAGAGGCAAGAAAGCCGTGTCTGGGACCATGACATCCTCCCACCTGGACTTTGGGGAGGTGGAAACTTTCCTGGACAGGCACCCAGAGTTGTTTGAAGATTACTTGATGCGGAAGGGGAAACAAGAGATGGTGGAGAAGTGGCTGCAGAGGCACAGTCAGAGTCAGGGGGCTTTAGGCCCAAGGCCGCCACTGGCAGGCACCAGCAGCTTGGGTCACAGTGCTGGCAAAGGCAGCAGTAGCATTTGTGGTGGCACTGGACCAAATGGCTCTGCCAATAGCCAGCCCACTCTGGGTGGTGGGGACGGTGGTGGGAGCCCCCTGAGTCCTAGCTGGGCCAGTGGCAACCGGGGCGATGGGAGCCTGCAGCGGAGAGCTTCTCAGAAAGAGCTAAGGAAGACTTTTGCCCGCTCCAAGGGCATCCATGTGAACAGGACCTACGATGAACAGGTGACCTCCCGGGCCCAGGAGCCGCTGAGCAGTGTGCGGCGGAGGGCACTTCTCCGGAAGGCCAGCTCCTTGCCCCCCACTACAGCCCACATTCTCAGTGCCCTGCTGGAATCAAGAGTGAATCTGCCTCAGTACCCCCCTACGGCCATGGACTACAAGTGCCACCTCAAAAAGCATAATGAGCGTCAGTTCTTCCTGGAACTGGTCAAGGATATCTCCAATGACCTTGATCTTACCAGCCTGAGCTGCAAGATCCTCATCTTTGTCTGCCTCATGGTGGATGCTGACCGCTGCTCTCTCTTCCTGGTGGAAGGGGCAGCTGCTGGCAAGAAGAGCTTGGTCTCCAAATTCTTTGATGTGCATGCAGGAACCCCACTGCTGCCCTGCAGCAGCACAGAGAACTCAAACGAGGTGCAGGTCCCCTGGGGCAAAGGCATCATTGGCTATGTCGGGGAGCATGGAGAAACGGTCAACATTCCTGATGCCTACCAGGTAGGACTTTGCATTGTCCCCCTTCCAGAGCCCCACTGGCCTGGGAGCCAAGACTTCACTTACCCTTTGGCATCTGGGAACACATTAATTTAGACTCTTTCTAATACGAATCTTTGTTTTTAAATGCCTTCTGAGTTTAGGCTAGTTAGAATGTAACTACACCATCCTTGATGTAATGGTCTTTTCCTAACACACAGTGACTGGAAAATTCATATATCACAAGGGCTACATTTTGTACCTAATAATACCACGTGTTTCTCTGTCAAGATACTTTGTCTTTAAGAATATCAGTGTATGGTTTCAGAGTGCATTTGCAAGGTACTAGAAAGAGATGTCTACTCCAGAATTCCAGTGTTAGTCTGAGAAAAATGGGCATGTTGGTGTCTCTGATGTCTTTTTGGGACCGTCACACATTTCATTCTCATTCAAGGTTTGAAAAGGAACAAAGTGCCTAACTACTTCCCTGTCCTCTTTTCTAGTTTACATTTGCATGAGTTCCAAGGTAGGGAAGAAGAGGAAGAGTGGAAAGTCAGGAAAGAATGGGGGTCTGACCCATTTGTGCCTTTTAGCACGTGTTTTAACTGTTTCTGTTGTTGAGTTTAGAGAGGTTGGACAAATAGAGGGGGTATTGATACAGCATTATCTGTAGTCAGCTTTTGACAGGACTGAGCAAATAGGTTTTTAGTTTGTGAAACAAACAAAAATTGATAATTTTCTAGCAACTGCAAAGGCAATCAGCAGGATAAACATGCTAGTTTCAAGTGGAAAAGGGAACCCAAAATGCTGTTGTCTGGTATTTCTAAGCCTTTCGTTTTCACAGTGATTTGAACTTGCTATCAGATGCCAGATCCAAAAGCCAGTCAGTTCTAATTTCTTCAGTATCTTTTCACTGAACATGATGAAACTGGATGCCACTTTCTATGAGACTTCTTCAGGGTTTATAAGAATTAAAGTTCTTATTCTTGGTTATGAAAGTTTTGTGGTCATTTGATGAGCACTTCTTCCAGTTGTCTAATAGAACTACATGTTTCTCTAGAGTTTGGTTGCTGTTAATCAGAATAGCAAAAGTGGTGGGAAGGACAGTAAAAGTAAAATTTTCTCTATTTTATCTGAAAGTTAAGAATTTTACATAGAAAATTGACTAGCTTGTACTAAACCCAAGTTTCACGTTTTTTGTGAGTTGTCTGTCAATATAACACTTCAATATTAAGAGATGCTTGTCAGAATACTATTTTTGTTGACCTTTTGTTATTGATTAGGTGCATTATTCATTATTATCCTTCTTGAAGATTTGATAGGTTTAAGTCAAGCAACCAATGAATGATCTTTAACAAGTGTCAATTTCTCTACAATCCTAGAAAGCCATGGGAAGAAATAAAAGCATTTAATAATTGATATGTTGAAGAATCTGTAAAAAGTCGAACAATCACAAGCTCTTCTCTTTCCCATGATTTCCACATCCTTATTGTGTGCTTGGGCTAAAAAAATCCTTTCCTATTTGGATGATACTTGTTATAGTCTGGGATTGCTGTCTTTTCTCTTTATTGCCTTTACTTTTTAAATTCTTTCCCAGTTGATTTTCTCCCATTTCTATAACTTTTATTTCTTGCTCTCCTCCTTCAGCTCCTGACTTTTATTTAATATTGCTCATAGACTACCTTTTCTTCAAGAGCATAATTCCCAGCTTCCGTAGCAGTTAACTTGTCTTCCTGCCACCTAGAATTGTGACCAGAGGTGTTATTAAAGACAGAGAAAATCAGGTTTTCAGCAGCTGATGTTTCTTCTGGGCCCTACTCTTACTCTGGAGACGGAGTATAAAGCAAAGTTGCCTTTTAATATTTGGAAGCTGAATTTGGGAAAGGAGAGTTTGTTTTTTTCCCCCAGAGTAGTAATGATGGCTGTAAAAACTGGGTTGTTGTAGAATTTAAGATCTTGGTTCATTCCTTGTCTTTGTTTTGATCTGCTTAGAAAGTTTCTCTTTTCTTTACCCATTGGTTTCTACTATATATTTATATATTTTTAACCTGGTGTGTTTTTCTTTGTTTTACTTATGCCACTCTTCTTCAATAAAACTACTTTTGTTCTTTATTGTGGTACACAGCAGTCACCACTAGTGTGACCTTGGAGGAATTTCTTGATTCTCCGAGTCTCAATTTACTCATCTGCAAAATGGGAATAATAACACCTATGTGGCAAAGATTATTGTTTTGAAAATAAAATGCGACATTGCATTAAAGCCCCTAAAACAGTACCTGGCACATTGCAATTACTCAGGAAGTGGTAACAGTTGATGATGATGATGATGATGATGATGATGTATCTAGTTTGATAGTATTCTTTTTCTTTCTATTTATCTCATTTTCAATTGTTTTTCTTCTAATCTGGGACTGAGATGTGAACTCAGCACATTTTGACCAGCCTAATCTTTCCCTGAACTATGCTCCACCCTTAAATTAAATGTTTTAGAACCAGCTTTACATTCAAGGAATATAGAAATATGTACTCTTCCACCCTCTACTTATGATTCTTCTAAATGTGATTGATAACCCTTGATCATATCCTAGCCTATCAAAAGTTCTACAATTTGTTCCTCTGGAAAGCACATGCAATATGAAGTTTTTATAGAGTTGTATTAATATTACATCCTTCTCAAGTTCTAGTATTTTCCCCAGCCTTTCCGTTTCATGCTGTTATAGATTTATCTTAATGAAAACTGACAACCTTCCAAATTCATGTTCTTTTATCATGATATTGTTGTAATTCTGATCATATATGTAAACATCTTAAAGTTTCTATGTAAAAATATAGCCATCCTCCCTGATTCTTTATTAACTGCTATATTTTAAAGATATTTCTTGCTCCGATTCAATTAGTGTACTTTTATTTCTTCAGGAGATGAAATTATCACACAGTTTCAAAATTTAATCAGTTGATAATTAGATTGATGATCCTCTTGGAGGTTCAGAATATGAGTGAGAGAAATGCATTAAAGACACTTATGAAATTATGATAATAAGCATGGCATTTTTGAGTCAAGGGTAGACTATTTAATGAAGTACTAAAGTTAAATAAAAGTTTTGACAGCAAAAAAACTCCTCAGTTTATTTCATTATTTTTCATTACTTTCCTCAATTAGTCCTAAAAAACAGACTTGAAATTAAGAGACAAATAAAGAATAGTAAGTGGAAAAAAAATTCATTTTAGGTATCCAGTATGGATCATAGCGACTGTAATTTATCTTTTTCCCTGACAGTTATAAGTTATTAAACAGCCCACTTTAATATAGTAATGAAAAAATTGCCCTCAAGAGGTTGAAAAGAAGAGCACTCAAGTAACAGGTGTTCTCTTTGAGATTATTCTAAGCGTTCAGAATATAGCACTTTAAACATTAATAAAAAGTGTGAGATTATATTTTTGTTAGTGTTGATAATGATGATACAGGTGTTTGATGGGCTTAAAGAGCAGCCAGGATGTTTTGTTAGGTGAGCTGAGAGAAGGAAAGGGGATGACGCAGAAGGGTTACAGGTGTGCCAGGCCTTCAGAAAACCTGCTCTGTTTACACAACAGATTCATTTGTTCATTAGTTCCAACAAACATACACTGAGTGCCTATTATACCTAAGACCTGGGATGGGGGTCTTAGGTGCACAAATGTTGAGAGGACATGCTTCTTGCCTTCCAAGTACTCATAGTCAAAGAGCATACGATTCACAAACAACTAATGCCCAGCTATACTTAATAAATAACACAAACTAAATGGTATTAGTCGCAGAAGAAAATGGAAGACTTCATGGAGGAGGTGCCATTCACGCTGGGAAAAGGGTTAGATTTCCCTGTTGGAGATGGTTGTGGGGGTGTGGGGAAGTGATCCAGGTACAGCAAAATGGCTTCTGCAGAGACATGATAATGAGCAAGCCCAAAATATGTATAGGGGACAGTGCTTGATTTAATTTGCCAAAGTATTGCATATGCTATATAATGAAGATGCAAAAGCAAGGTAAGAGCAAAAGAAGAAAGGATCTCGACTGCCTGAGTAAAGAACCTGAGCTTCACTAACAGCAGGCCGCAGGGAGCCCTAAAAAAACCTTTTAGCATGATCAGAGAGGTGTTTTGGGCAACCTGGTGACAGTGGCTGAATGGGTTGAACAAGGGGAGGCCCAAAGCTGTGAAAATAACAAGGAGTCTATTATGATGGTCTGGTGGAGCCATGATGAACCAGTGAACTAAAGCAGGAGCAGCAGGAATGGACAGCAGGGGACAGATGGGAGATGTCCTGCAGGTGTGGATCTGGGCTGGGAGGGAAGGAAGTCAGTGGTGACTCAGAGATTCTAAACCTGGGTGATATGGAGAAGGTGATGCCATGATAAAAAGCAGGAAGAGAAACTGGTTAAGTCAAGATTCTAAGTGGAGTCACCTATATAATTTGTGGAGCTTGATGCAAAATGATAAAGTGGAACCCTGCCTGGAGGTGGAGAAGTTAATCTTCCATTCCCAAGGTGTGCTGCCCCAACTCACAGCAGACATACTGAGTGGCTTGCTGAATGCGCCATAGTGGTGCCAGCTCTGGGTGGGGATGACCACAGCCTTGCTCCTCCCTATGGAAGTGTGGGGCATGCAACTGACCCTCCCTACAGTCCCACCCAGACCCCGACCAGGAGCAGAGGGCAATGGCAGATGTGGAATGTGGGCCCTCATCCCCAACCAGTGTGACCTGGTTGTGGCTCCCAGTTCCAGGGCAGGATTGAGGGGTAGGCTGGGTGTGGTCCAGGACACTAGGGAGCAGGGATCAGTGACCAAGAATCTCCTGGGCAGGCAGTGAAAGGGGAGACTGAATGTGAGCCGAGGTTCCCAGCTCTGGGCTCGTATGCCTTTGTCTCATTGGACTTCACTTATAAAACACAAATTCAAAGATAAAATTATTAAGAATTTCACACAGCACAGCATTAAACTCAAGCAGGGGGCTGCTGAGCAAGTGCACTGGTCACGTGCCCATGAAGTGCT